CTAGTGACTGTGGCCACCAGTACAGATAGGGAAGAAACCTCCCCAATGGGGGCACAGTGATAAAAACTTGGGGGTCTGACTGATTCACACTTTGGAAAACTAAATAAAGAAACCCATGCTTAGAGATGCACTTTAAGATTCAGTAAATCCTCCTGCTTTCCTCAGTATTTTTGAACTAACCTATGCCTAATCAGCAGCTTTATGCAAGAAAACATTGACACCTATGAAAAAGGCTGTGTGCTTGACGAGGCTGCTTTACTGATAATGCCCCACGCTGCTGTAGTGGCTCTCCTGCTGCAGTATCCAAAGATCTTGCCATTTTGTTCTTGTAAAGAGCACTGTACACACAAGTGTTCAAGCAGTCTGTTGTGAGAGCAAGTAGTCAGATTATCCTTTGTATGTTTCCAAGGATGACCAAACTGTTAAAGAATGAAGCTGATTTATCGCTACGAGGCGAAAGGGGAAATCCTTTATTCATATGAGTGGGCACAAAAATATTTGAACTTCTGCCAGTTGGAGGTTGTAAGCAAGAAAAGAAAATGCTGTATTTTCAGAAACCTGTTCTAAGTGACACCTGTCATAAAAGACATGCAGGGACTGCCTGCCCCCTCCTAATGTGGTTTTCCTAGCTATATGTGGTTTCCACAGTTTGAATACAGATCTGGAACAAGCATGGGGCATGTCAGTTCTTTCTCCGTAGGTTGGTGACTTACAAGAACAGAGGTATACCACTCAGGCAAACAATCCAGATCAATCCATGACAGGTGCAGGCTCTGGCTTGCCACCAGACACGATGCAACTGGAAGAAGGGTCAGTCGCACACCAGAGGATTGATGAATATAGTGTATAGGGATGCACCGAAATTTCAGCCACCGAAACATACTGGATGAAAATAGCCTTATCGACATTTAGCCGATACGTGAGACTGTGTACTGTAGATGTGAAAGGGCAGCGGAGAAAGGCAGGAGAGGAGCAGTGTATGCAGTCACTGGCTGTCACTATGGGGTTTATTTACTAAAGCTGGAGAGTGCAAAATCAGACTCACTTCTGCATAGAAACCAATCAGCTTCCAGGTTTCATTGCCAAAGCTTCATTGAACAAGCTGAGGTTAGAAGCTGATTGGTTTCTATGCAGAAGGGAGTCTAATTTTGCACTCTCCAGCTTTAGTAAATAAACCCCTATATGTCAGTACCGGTTTTTAAATTTAATTACTGGCTTTTTTTTTTTTTCTTCACTATAGCTGGCAGAATTAGCTGTCACTTTCCCCCCAGCTAAAAGAAACAAAGTTTCCTTTAGCTCCCAGGAAAGTGATGGCTATTTCTGTGAGCTATAGTGAAGAAAAAAAAAGCTGGCAATTGCATTTAAAAACCGGCACTGACATATAGTGACAGCCAGTGAGGGAGCCTCTCTGTATACACTGCTCCTCTCCCCCCTACAAAGAGGACCTGTCACTCATACGCTATCACATAGGGGACTATTGGTCCCCTATGTGATAGCAATAAAATCATAAGTTAAAAAAATAAAAATATACATGAAAATAGGGAAAAATAAATTGGAGCCCCCCCCCCCCCCCCACATACAGCTGAATTGTTTCGGTTTTTTGGCCACATGCGTTCTGAATTATTGGTTTCGGTACCAGAATTTTTAATTTTGGTGCACACCACTAATAGTGTATATTTATTGATCCATATTACATGCAAAACACCAGGACATGAATACAGGACCTGTTAACGTGTTTCACACGATCTCGTGCTTAACAGGTTATAGCCAGATGGCGGCCTGCAAAACCCCTCGTCCCTCCGGGTGGAAGCCATATGGATGACCAAACAGATTACATGCCCGCAGAGCCGCGCAGCGGCGTGATCTGTCACCGGCCGTGTACTTCGGACACGGCCGATGACAGATCTGAGTACCGGCCCCGTTGCCATTACCATGTGACTTGCTGTGACCCAAACACAGCAGGTCACATGACAGTTGTATACAATGGATGGCTTCCTTTCATGCCATCCATTGTATACAAGTGTGTCTAGCTGTGAATGGTCACAGCAATCACATGCACAAGCTGGGCCAATCACAGCCCAGCTGTGTCATGTGGTTAGCTGTGGCCAAATCACAGCTAAGCACAAAAAAAACCCTGAATGAATCGATGTCATACAGGTAAATGCTTGCTTATAGCAAAGTAATTCTTTGCTATAAGCAAATTGTATGTAAAAAAAAAAAAATTACTGATCACTTCCCCAATGTAGTACAGTGTTACTATGGTAACATTGTACTATCTTGGTCATAGTAAAATATGAAAAAAAAAATCTTAAAAAAAAACCCCAAAAATGTAATTAAAACGAATAAAAAAAAATTTTTTTTTCATACTGTCACCAGTCGGTGTCCCTGATCACCGCCATGCTAGTTATATGATGAAGCTGTACTGCACTGGTGACAGTATGTTAAAAAAAAAAATTTGTGAAAATAATTTTTTTAATTTTCCGAAAAATTATGACAAAAAAATTACAACTTCAAAAAAAACTCGCCATGCCTCTTATGAAGTACGTCGGACTGTCTACTTTGTAAAAAGTGGTCATTTGGGGGATATCTGTACTGTTCTGACATTCTTGGACCTCAAGAAATTAGGTTGGCCGTCAGTACTTCAGGATTGATCAATATTCAGATATAATTATCCCATAGTTTGTGAACTCTATAACTTTCCTACAAACTAAATAATACATCCTAATTTGGGTTATTTTCACCAAAGACATGTAGCAGAATACATCTCGGCCTAAATTTATGAAGAACAATTATTTATTTGTAAACTTTTATAACAGAAACAAAGAAAAACATGTGTGGTTTTTTTTTTTTTTTTTCAACATTTTCAGTCTTTTTTTTATTAATTTAGCAAAAAAATAAAAACCCCAGTGTTGATTAAATACCACCAAAAGAAAGCTCTAGTTGTGTGACGAAAATGATAAATTTTAGTTTGGGTACAATGTTGTATGACCGTGCAATTGTCATTCAAAGTGTGAGCGCTGATACCTGAAAAATGGCCTTGCAGGAAGGGGGTAAAAGTGCCTGGTATGGAAGCGGTTAACCACAAGATCGTGTGAAACACGTTAACAGGTCTTGTATTCATGTCCTGGTGTTTTGCATGTCCTATGGATCAATAAATATACACTATATTCATCAATTCTCCTGTGTGCAATTGACCCTTCTTCATGTTGCAGGTTGGTGACTTAGAATGTACTGAAGGGCATCAGCAGTTATCCAGGCAGCCAGTTTTCTCCAAAAAAGCAATGACCGCATACACCAATAAACTGTTTTTAAAAAAAAATTCTATTCAAGTATGTATTCTTAACTCAGAAAACTGCTGTAAATTTGCTCTCTGCCTCCTCCAAATCTCAAAAAACATTTTTTTTTTGAGTGCGCCTGTGATATTGCAATGAACTACGGTACCCATAAATCTCCATGTGTCACGCTTTAAAAGCCTTTACAGCTCACCAGTTTGGAGTTAGCTGTGCGCTCGTGTGCAAGAGTTCTTGCTCTCAATCAGATGCTTGAAGTGATGTCATATGTGTAGTGCGACTGCAGCTTACATACGCAAGCAAATGTATGTGGGGCAGCGTGGATTACAGTAATTTTTAATATTTTTTATTAGAATTTTGTAATTTTTTTTTTTTTTTTTTATCGCTATCACAAGGGGGATTGGATTGTGTGCTGTTAGAAAACCGTTGCCTGAAGGTTCAGTTTAAATTCTATTCTGAGAAGGTGTTTAGTGCTCTATTTTACATAGAGGCACTACTGTTTCCTGTAGTTTCACTTAAAGGATAACTCTACCTCTCATAATGGTATGCTACACCAGTATATAGGGTGTTGTTGCTGAGCCCCCCTTTGTGACATCATGCAGGGGTTATTCCCATGCAGCTACTGAGCTGGGTCATTGAATCTGAGAGCTCTGTGAATGAAGCAACTACAAATCCGATCTGCCACCACCGCAGGCCTGACTTGGTGTTGGCAATGGCAAAACAAGTGCAGTAATGAGCATACTTGTCCATTGACCATACTTGCTGCTCTCCAGCTGAAAGCCCGTACAGAGTTACAGCTGATAGCTGGAGGAAGAGTTTGCAGGAGCCTGACATTGCACCTTGATCCTTTGATTGTGGATGCAATGCTTTGCAGACTCCTGTGGAGAAAATAATAAATGCACATTTTGTTTCCTGAAAAAATATATATTTTTTTTATGTAAGGTGAACTTGGCCCTTAATTTAGCTAAAACATGCATGTACTGTATTACATGTACTAAAAATGTAAAGTATTGCAAATGGCAGCTAAAAATGTGCATGCAAGTTGCTCATTAAAGGCGAACATCTGGGGGTCCTTGTAGAACAGATTCTGCAATAACAATACCAAGCTGCAGAGTGGAAAGTATTCAAGTGCACCCAGACCCACCCTGCTGCTTTACTTTTCCAGTTCAGTGACTCAGCTATTTAGTCAAGGCACCTAGTGTTTTCAGGTCAGAAATGGCAGCCTTCACTTTTCCCACAGAACACATTTCCTTAAGCATCTCTGTACCTGTAACAACCACTCAGACAGGAGCCTACTGTACTGTGTAGGCATATCCCTTCTCAATGCATAGAAACATCAGGCTCTGACACAGCAAGTTCTAACTTTCTGAATTTGAAAACCTACTCAAGGCTAATTGGGCTCCCATGGCCTCTTGTAACAGTGCTTGGATGTGGCAACTGGCCGCTCTAGTGCTAAATCATGAAACAGTAGATTTTAATGTCCCTATGCCCGGTGGTAGAATATTTCCTAGGGCTCTAGCAGAGTTATGGATGAAAATAGGTAGGTATGATCTGGTACATTTTGTGTATTAGCTTTTCCCTGCTTCAAAAAACAAGTTATTTACAATAATATTTAAAATCTAGCTCGCTCCACTATTAGAAGCTGCAAAAATGCTAGAAGTGGCATGCTTTAATATGATAGGCTGTTACTAGCATTAATGGCGTTATGAGATCTTTAAACTCATTTGGTTCCCTTTCACAGGATGGAATCCGACGTGGCCGTCCAAGAGCAGAAACGGTTCGAGACTTGATAAGTGAGGGCGAACACTCTTCAAGCAGGATTCGGTGCAATATATGCAAAAGAGTGTTTCCTCGAGAGAAGTCTTTACAAGCCCATAAAAGAACACATACAGGTTAGCCTAGAACGTAATTCCAGTTTGGTAGTTGGCTAATTTTACCTAGATAATGAATAAACCTGATTGGCTTCTTGGGTTAGGAGGCTTAATTTGCTCTAAATGTAATAAACCAGATCCCTGCTTTTGCAAAATGGAGAGAAGATTATACATACAGCATCGGTTTTCCTGACTGTAGTCTCAGTTCAATAAGCAATAGAAATCGGAGTTCTCAGAAATGAGCCATAGCTGAAACTAACAATCCAGTAAGTGAAAAGTTCTTACAAATGGCAAATGTTAGTGAATTGAGCACTTATTGATCTTTCTTTACATAATGCATACAGCAGAGCAGCCAACAGTGGTGGACAGTTATGTGAACCACTGTTGCATCATGAATTGAAGTTGATGTGGGCATTAAAGTGGAGTAGTAAGAGTTGGTAACTGTCAGGCTTTTATTGCTGTTTGTCTTAAGTTTTATATTCACCTTCTCTCCTGGTGATTACTGTCATCTGAAAAAACAGTAAATCTAACATTTTAGCTTGTGTGTGTATATAACAAAAGGGAAATATTCCAATGAAAACACTTGTTATGATGACAACTGTCTAACACTGGAATTCAACTCACTTTGAGATTTACACTGATTCTGGAACAGGGGCAGACTGACCATTTGGAAACTCGGGCACTGCCCTAGGGCCTAAGGTCGGTAGGGGGCCCCATGAGATGCCCCTGGTACCTTTTTCATAGGCTTTATTGAGTTTGGGCAAGGACCCGGGGGCCTCATGAGTTGTCAGTCCACCCCTGGTCTGGAACTGTGGCAAGAAAGAGCACTCTATTGAAAACTAGACACTTTTTTGGTTGATGGTTCCACTTTAAAGTTTGCCAATACTTTTGTATTCTGAAACAGGAATCTGTTCCATTTTGATTGCATCAGTTGACTATTGTACATGTTTGGTATGTTAAGTTTTTTTGTTTTGTTTTTTTTTTTTCTGCTTAAAGGAGAGAGGCCTTACCTTTGTGACTATCCTGAATGTGGGAAAGCCTTTGTACAGAGTGGACAACTAAAAACACACCAGCGCCTGCACACCGGAGAGAAACCTTTTGTTTGCTCAGAAAATGGTACGTTGCCCCTTGTTATAGTGTACAGACTTTGGAGGAGATGTACTAAAACTGGTGCATTCAGAATCTGGTGCAGCTGTGCATGGTAGCCAGTCAGCTCATTCAGTTAAGCTTTGGCAATAAAACCAGCAAGTTGATTTATATGCAGAGCTGCACCAGATTTTGCACCCTCCTGTTTTAGTAAATCATCTGAAAAGGTACAAAAATGTACACAGTGGGTCTGAGTATAAAATTAGCCCCTGCCTCCCCTTTTTTTTTTTTTTCTTTTTTTTTTTCTCCCTATTTTTGATGGTTATTGTGTTGCTTCAAAATGTTAGAATTTTTTTTCCCCGCTATATAGCCCTCTGACAAAAACTGCCACTTTTTGACTTGTAAGCTATATGCTAATTTCTAAATGGTGAAGTACCTGTAGAGTGTTGTTGAGAAGGAACTTTTGGAACTAGTATGCATCTGGCAAGTCAGCCAATATTGTCTTTCAGCCATAAGCTCTTTAGGTTAATTCCAGATCCCATTTTTAAATGGAAGTGAAATAAAGATGAGATCGGATATAATTTGTGTACTTCTGAAGGTAATCGCTGCTGAATTAGGCTTGTGATAGCTTTACTGTAATTGATTACTGGCTGATTGGTTAAAATCACATAAGCACAAGGCGCGTGGGCTGAATCCTTGCTGCCAGGCCTTGTCATCTGGCTCTCACACCCAGTTTTGCAGCCAAAACATGGTGGAACTCCATTGCACCACCTCCGGCTTTCCCCCTCCACTCCCCGCTGTCTTTTGTAACCACAGAAAACTTCTGTGTCTACAAGGAGAAGCTGCTCGTGGATGTAACATACCTGCATGCACTTGCGGCAGGGACAGATCTCCACAATCAGAGAGGAGGCAGAGCCACCTACATAGGTACTAGAGCCAGTCTATGTAGGAGAGAGTAGAGATTCAAGGAAACTTGTGAGCGAAGGGTATTTCCCCCTGTGCATAGCGCACCCTTGAGTCCGCACTCTGTACACAGCATACCCCTGAACTTTGCACTCTGTTCGTAATGCACTTCTGAGCTCTGTACATAGTGCACTTGTAAACCCTGCATTCTGTACATATCGCAGCCTTGAACTTTTTTTCCCCCAGTTTTCTAATCTGATGTTTGTGTATATCTGTAGGTTGTTTGAGCCGTTTTACACATGCAAACCGACATTGCGCCAAGCATCCATATGCAAGATTGAGAAGAGAAGAACCGAACAGTAAAACCGGCAAAATGCAAGTTGCTGATAACAAAGATACAGCAGAATGGTTGGCAAAGTACGTTTGTAAGATGTTTTATGGCAGTTTATATTCCAGCTTGATATTTACATGCCTGTTTAAACTGTTGCAAATTGTATTAGTTATGCGTCATTAAGGATTTGTTTCTTGGCACTGCCAATCATGCCCGTCAGCCACTAGATCTCACTGTGTACTCCAATGAAACATGAATTTTCTTATGCTTTGTTGCTTTCCAGCAGCTAGAATGTGCTGCTACATAGATTTCGCATTGCCCAACAATCCGATTTTGTCATTTTTAAATCTGCCGCCTGCTATGTATTGTAAGGGCCTGTACATTGGATAGAACCTGAATAGAATGTTCTTGTTAGTCCGCCTATTATGTAGATTTGGTAAACTACTTCTTCCTCTTCCTCCTCTTCTTCCTCTTCCTCCTCTTCTTCCTCTTCCTCCTCTTCTTCCTCTTCCTCCTCTTCTTCCTCTTCCTCCTCTTCTTCCTCTTCTTCCTCTCTTCCTCTTCTTCCTCTTCTTCCTCTTCCTCCTCTTCTTCCTCTTCTTCCTCTTCTTCCTCTTCCTCCTTCTTCCTCCTCCTCCTTCTTCCTCCTCCTCTTCCTCTTCCTCCTCTTCCTCCTCTTCCTCCTCTTCTTCTCTTCTTCCTCCTCTTCTTCCTCTTCTTCCTCCTCTTCCTCCTCTTCTTCCTCCTCTTCCTCCTCTTCTTCCTCCTCTTCCTCCTCTTCTTCCTCCTCTTCCTCCTCTTCTTCCTCCTCTTCCTCCTCTTCCTCCTCTTCTTCCTCCTCTTCCTCCTCTTCTTCCTCTTCTTCCTCCTCTTCCTCCTCTTCCTCTTCTTCCTCCTCTTCCTCCTCTTCCTCTTCTTCCTCCTATTCTGTAGACCTGCCGGCTCGGCTTTTGACACACACAGCATGGCTTGGTCCCGCTCCCTCATCACAGGGTTTAATTTACAGCAGTAGGAACCAAAGGTGCTCTCTGCCTGTTGAAAGAGGAGGAGAGAGCAACGCTGCCTGTAGAGGGGCACAGCACTGGATTGAAATAGGTAAATGTAGAGCAGAGTGAGGGAGAGATACTGAATGCATTCCCTGCATTAAGGTAAAAAAATGTCTTGCCTTAGATTGCTTTAACCGCTTCCCATCCGCCTTATAGCTGAAATACTGCTACAGGGCAGCCGTGGCTGTCAATCACTGGGTCCCGGACGGTAATTACTTGCTGGCACCTGGTGATTTCCGAAGATCTCCGACAGGGAGGAGGACTGTTTTTTGTTTACTAACAGTCCTCCTCCCTGTCAGCTTGGGCACACTGCTCTGGATGGCTGTGCACATCCTGAGCAGTGTGATTACAGTGAAGCACACTGACACAGCCCCCTAGTAAAACAGTTAACCCCTTCCTGCCCAGTGCCATTAGTACAATGATCAGTGTTTTTTTTTTTTTTTTTTTTTTTTTCTTTTCCCAGCACTGATCACTGTATTGGTGTCACTGGGGGGATGTTGGTGACACCAAGTCAGTTCTCCCCAGTGTCAGAATGTCTGCTGCAGTTCCACTTTAAGTCGCTAATCGCTGCCATTACTAGTAAACAAAAAACAAAATTCCAGTGTATATATACCGCCATTTGTTAACTTTATAACTCATGTAAACCAATTAATTTACACGTATTGGGAATTTTTTTTAGCAAAGGCATGTAGCAGAATGCATTTTGGTGTAAATTAAATTTTTTTTTTTTTTTTTTAATTTTTACTGGACATGTTTAATAGCAAAAAGTCAAAATATATAAATTTTTTTTTTCTCAATTGTCGGTCTTTTTTTTTTTTTTCTTTAATAGTGCAAAAAATTAAAAATGCACAGGCGATCAAATACCACCGAAAGAAAACTCAATTCGTTGGAAAAAAAAAGGATGTAAATTTCATTTGGGTGCAGCGATGCACGAACCGCGCAATTGTCAGTTAAAGTAGCGCAGCGCCGTAATGTGAAAAATGGCCTGGTCAGGAAGGGGGGTAAAGCCTCTGGAGGGCAAGTGGTTAAAGTGTATATGATCAGATTGTAACTTGTATGGTCATGCTAAGACTTGTCTCCTTATGGTAAACCTAAAGTTCACATTTTTTTGTAACATTTGTCATGTGTTATGGAATGATAGCACTATAGCATTTTTGCTAGATGAATTGTTTTCAGATGCTGAATAATACAACATTCCTGCCTTAACCGCTTTATTTATATATATATATATATATATATATATATATATATATATATATAATTTTGCATTCCCGGGTAGGGGGTGCACGCGTGCTCTCTACCCGCCCCTGCTATTGTCTCCTCCAGGAGAGGTCTGTATGTAAACACAGATCTCTCCCCTGTCAGCACGAACAGACTGCTTTGTCTACATAGTAAAACACAACACAGCACACTGTCAATCATTTTTATCCCCCCAGATGTTAACCTCCTTCTTGCCTACTGTCATTAGTACAGTGTCAGTGCTTTTTGTTAGTGTATTGGTGTCACTGGGGATTTCAGTGGCAGTTCCCCCCCCCCCGTCAGAATGCCTGCTGCAGTCCCACGATAGGTCACTGATCACTGCCATTACTAGTAAATAAAAAATAAAAATTCCAGTGTGTGTGGATAGATAGATAGAGGTGTATAGAGAGAGAGAGGGGTGTATAGCGAGAGATGTATAGAGAGAGAGGGGTGTATAGCGAGAGATGTATAGAGAGAGAGAGAGGTGTATAGAGATATATATATATAGAGAGAGAGAGAGAGGTGTATAGAGAGAGAGAGAGGTGTGTGATATATATATATATATATATATATATATATATATATATATATATATATCTCACCATTTGTAGACCATTTATATATATATATATATAACTACTACTTTTTTTTTTTTTTTTTTTTTTTTTTTTTTTTATAGCGCAGAAAAATTAAAAACTGCACAGGTGATCAAATACCACTGAAAGAAAGCTATATTTGTATGGGGGGAAAAGGACATAAGTTGCATTTATGTACAACGTTGCATGACTGTGCAATTGTCAGTTAAAGTAACGCAGCACCGTATTGCAAGAAAAAGGCATGCTCCGTAAGGGGCGGGTAAATCCTCTGGAGGACAAGTGGTTAATACCAGTCTTTTTAGTGCTCTAACAATGTTTGCTGTGTAGCATCCTAAAATGCCTTACAAATCCTAAGATGGTTTATCATGCTTAGTAGTCTTTTGCTGAAATTCCTAGCCACCTTTTTTAAAATGCTGATCTTTATTTTCAGACACTGGGAAGGACAAGAACAGTTGCCGCCAACATTAAAGATGAAGCCCCTTCAGAAGGCAGACCAAGAGCAGCAAGATCCACTAGAATATCTTCAGTCTGATGAAGATGAGGAAGATGAAAAAAATGGGCCTCATTCTGCTGCTCGACGCTGTCTCCAGGAGCAGCGAGAGCGTATGCATGGCGCTCTGGCCCTGATTGAGCTAGCCAACATAGCTAGTTCACAGTTGCGCCAGTAACATTATTGACACGTACGAAAAGTCTTTTTCCCTTGCAGTATATTGGGCCTTATTTCTTTATTTCAGTGGCATAATCCTCTGTTATTAGAAAAAGGTTGCAAAATATGCTGTGGGTTATAAGCTAAGCACCTTATTTGCTTGATATAGGCTGCTATCCTGTAGAATTTCTATGAAGAATGTTGCTTCCTAATCTAGGAAGTGTGAGAGTATTGCACTTTTTATGGTAAAGATAGTTGTAAAGTGTTTTATATAAAATATTTTGTAAATATGGATTTGGAAAAGGTATAGTTCTTACATCTGTTTGAAATATTGGGTTTTACAAGCTTAACGTTTCTTTTCAGGAAGACAGTCGATTTTTCCAGAGGTAAAGTTGTATCGTGCTAGTACCATGAAATTTGTAATCACAATTATTCTTGTAATTTATTTCTGTAGGCAAAAATATATTAGGTCTGTAAACACATGTTACACTTGTATCAGAATAGGAGGATTGTTCAAGTGGAATGAAAAGTTAAGCTTGTAAAATAAAGGCTTCCAATGAAATGGATGCTATGATGCAAGATAGCACTTGTTTAAAAGGGGAGGATGTTTTATTGGTGGTATTGTGTTTTTCTTTTTTTTATAGTAAACTATTTTTAGAATATCTGCAAACACTAATTTTAATATTCAGCTTTTAGGATTTTTAAATATTTTTTGCGAACTGCCAGGCTGTGTTAACTACCGTTTGCAAACTGCCTAAAAGCCACTTTATTGCTTTAACATGCCAATCTGTGTTCTATAAAATGACTCAACTCTATTGGCTAGTGATCCCAGAAGAAAGTACTTCTGTTATCTAAAGGGCTCGCTTAACCCCTTCCTGCCACCACCTCCCAGCCCTTTAACAGATTATAAATGCTGGTGCAGTTGGCCATTCTGATCATGTGACCGCTGTGATGGCAGTCAGTAGAAAACTCCCGATCGCAAGTATGCATCAGGAACTTTCAGGTACCTACCGGTTTCTGTGCTGGTAGCATGCTCTCAGCACAGTAAAGCGTTTACTTTAGGGATGCATATTTGTGGCCGCTTGGCTTTAAGGTCCACTCGCTCAGAGGCCGCATATATGCTTATGGCTGGCAGGAAGCGGTTAAAAATTGGTGTATGTAGCCACTGGATGATCGTTTCATATATACATTGAAAGCTGGCAATGCTCTTAAATTCCTGTGTTTTTTGTTTTGTGTGTTTGTTGTTGTGTTTTTTTTTCAATCTTCCTTGGAGGCATTGTCCTTTTTTAGACTTGATGAGAATTCTTCACAATTGCTCTCGGAACTCAGTGTTGGAGAAACATTTTATAGTCTGAACAATTGTTAGGAAGCCAGTGCTCCCCTTCCCCCCCATCAAAAACTTGATCACATTTAAGCAATTAAAGTGGTCTCGTATCTTCTGTTAAAATTGATCTGAAATGTAAAAATTGTCCTATTTATCACTGAAAACACATAGCTGGCACTTTGGGGTGCCCACCTGTAATGCCTGTAAGTTTAATATCTTGGATATCAGCAGTGCAAATGCTACTTGGGGGCAGAGGCAGACTGACCATTTGGAAACTCGGGGACTGCCCGAGGGCCCGGGGTCAGTAGGGGACCCCATGAGATGCCCCTGGTACCTTTTTCATAGGCTTTTTTGAGTTTGGGCAAGGACACAGGGGCCCCATGATCCCCTATTGCCCGGGGACCCCATGAGTTGTCAGTCCGCCCCTGCTTGGGGTTCCCCCATCCAACCAGATAGAGACTTGCTGGTAGATGGATGTAAACAGATGCATGTCCATTTATTTCATGCCCAAAGACTTAAATGAAGTTTGAAAATCTAAAACAGGTGGACCTGATTGGGAAGCTTGTGTAAAAGGGGCCTTCGGTAGAGGGCCAGGCTCTGCCTTCTGAGCCTCACAGCTCCTTACCAAGATAACCATGTTCCCTGACCAATAGTTCTGTATTATGCAAGTATTTTAAACTTAAGATTTGCTTTAAGTAAGCAGTTTCAAATTTGGGTTGATGCAGTTGACACATTTTTACATTTAATACAGTTAAATGTATCTGTGTGTTGAAATAACAGCTAAAGTGTTGAGGTGTGTTTTGTGTGTGTGGTGTGTCTTTTGGATTGTTTTTTTTTTTTTTTTTTTTTTTTTTCTCTTTTAGTCCTGTTTTTATAATATAAATTTTTATCTCGTCAAGTTAAGGAAGACTATGAGAAACCTTTTATATATGCACTTATTTCCAAAAAGGGAGTCATTATGAATTTGATACGTTGAAACTGCTTTTTGTTCTAAAAATGTGGTTTAAGTGTCATCCTGCTTATAGCTAAGTTAGTAGTTTGGCATGAATTTTTAGCAAAAAAGTGTACTCCGCTTTTGAATAAATCATTTATAATTTAACCTGTCTTTGTGTGGTTTCCACTGTTAAACCCAGTATGCAGCACTTTTGTTCAGACCTGTGCTAGATCATAAAAGTTAAAAACACTTCCAAAATGTACCAAATACATAGTATAGAACCAGCAATATTGTCCCCCACACAGCTGTCGGCGTACCAGTGAGCCACGTCTGTCACAGCGTACCAGTGCTCATATACTTCTGTACCAGTGATCAACATCTGTTATGACTTACCAGTGTCAAATCCACATCTGTCAGTTTACCAGTGCTCAATATCTGTCACACAGTACTAGTGTAAAATCCACATCAGTACCAGAATAACATCTGTCACAGTGTACCAGAGTAAAATCCACACCTGTACCATTGATAAATATCTGTCACAGATTATTAGTGTGAAATCCACACCTGTACCAGTGATCAATAGCTGTCAGCGTATCGGTGTGAAATCCACATCTGTACCAGTGAACATCACAATCAATATCAGCAGTAAAGCATAACCATGTCTAAAAAAATTTATACACCAGCGAGGAAGCTTTCCAGATACTGAGTATGACGGACAGGAGTAGCAGGGAACTCTTTGTCAGACTCAGATTTTGAGTATGAGCCAGTTGAAAGCAATGGGTCAGCAACAGATTCTGAGGAGGAAAGCGTTCAAACAAAGAGGTTCAGGAGATCTGAGGAGGAGCCGGCATCCACCAGTAGCGCAGTGGCGAGTATAAGCAGCATAGCACTCCCAGAAGATAGCAGCAGAATGTATTTTGGGGTGTAATTTTGGGTGTGTAATGTATCGCTTTTGAACGCCTGTAGCTGCTACTTGGATGTTGGGCCTCTGTGGCCATGCTGTGGAAAAGTCTTACGCATGTGGTATCCCCATACTCAGGAGGAGCAGCAGAATGTGTTTTGGGGTGAAGCTGTGAGTATGCATATGCTGTGTGAGAGGAATAACCTGTTAATATAACAATTGTGTGGAAAAAGAAAAATGAATTTACTTCATTTTCCAAAGCATTGCGGGGAAAAAAATTACAGGTTGAAAAAAAACTTACAATGCATCTTACTAAATACCTTGGAATGTCTACTTTCTAAAAAGGGGTCATTTGGGGGGTATTTGTACTGTCCTGGCTTGTTAGTGTCCCAAGAAATAAGAGGCCATCAGTACATCATTTGATCAGGTGTGTTCAATTTTCACTGATTGGTACCATAGCTTGTAGACTCTATAACGTTCACACAGACCAAATAATACACATCATTTAGGATTATTTTTACCAAAGCAATGTAGCAGTGTACATTTTGGCCAAAATTTTATGAAGGAAAAATGTACTTATTTGCCAAATTTTCTAACAGAAATGAAGAAAAGTGCATATTTTTGTTTTTTGTTTTTTCAAACTTCGGTCTTTTTTAATTTATAGCGCAAAAAAAAAAAAAAAACAGTGCTAATTAAATACCACCAAAATAAAGCTCTATTTTTGTGAAAAAAAAGCACAAAAAAGTAATTTGGGTACAGTGTTGCATGACTGAGTATCATACAAATTGTGAGAGAGCTGAAAATTGGTCTGGGCAGGATTGGGGTGAAAGTGCCTCGTATGGAGGTGGTTAAACCTGCGATTCTCAACCCACCCCAGAGGAGCCATATATACAGCAATCGTGATATCGCTGCACCCCACCACTCACAACAAAAGCCACATGCATGCCGTACAATAGGCCTGCCAATATGTTAATATAGCATGTAGTAGGCCAGCATACTGTATGTAGGAGTGTATGGACTGTGTTTTACTACTTAATTGCATAAGCCCGAAAAACAAGCACTTCAATGAGAAAAAAAAAAAAACTGCCCTCTACTGAGTCCAAAATTGTTTCTATACATAAAAGCAGGTTGCATTATCTTGGTCATGTGTCCTTCCCTAGTGTATCTACATCCATAAATACCCTACTCGCAAACGCACCTAATTTAACACCTTATTAAGAAACATTACTAATCATAATGGCATATCTGTAAATTAACTGAAAAATAAACTAAAAACTACTATACATCACTAAGCAAACCAACTCAAATAATCTGTTAAACGAATGACCCACTTAGTGATTGTAAAGGGTCTTTTGTGATTTAAAAAAAAAAGAAAAAAATGAATAGACTTGCACAAAACAGCCCTGGTCCTCCTGTATTCTGCTACCTTGCCGGTGCTCCTGGCTTTCAAATTACCCCACCGCCAGTGTCATTGATGTCAGTGTGCCTCTCACCCAGCGTCAGCTAGCACCAGATTGCACACCACACTATCAGTCCCATTTTATGTTGCTGATCACTGCCATTACCAGTATAGTGTCATGACTGTAAATTCCAGTGTATACGTACCATGGTTAGTAGAAGCTATAACATTTTGGCCTAAATTCATGGTTTTTTTTGTGTGTATTGGTATGTTGTATAACAAAGTACAAAATATTGTTTCCAAAATTTTCAGTCTTTTCATTTAGATAAGAAAAACCCTGTGGTGATCAAATACCACCAAAAGAAAGCTCTGTTTATGTGAAAGAAAGATAGAAATTTCATTTGTGTACAGTGTTGCATGACCACGCAATTGCCAGTTAAAGTAGCTCAATGCTGAATCGCAAA